TGTAACGTAAAAAGCGCTATACAAATAAACTTGAATTATAAAAAAAAATAAAAAAATCTAAATATTACAAAAATGCATTTTTTAAATATGTTTCTTCATTTTCTTCAACACAGTAAAAGCAAGTAAAATGCACTTGCAGTGCATAATTCAGCATCAAGTGGTTTAGTAACTCACCCCGGTGTAGAGCGCAGGTCGTGGAACTCAACATGGAGTAGAGGGAGAAAAGAGATTTGACAGAAAGGACAGGTGCAGTTGAGATTGGAGTCATCAGCTGTCCAGCCTACCATGATCTCCTCGTCATACACCAGAGCTGTGTTCATCGTCTGTTTGATTATGTCTTTAATTGATTTTTCCGTACATTTCTGCCATATGTACGTAAACTGACAGTCACCACTGATAAGCTACTACTAAATATTGTAGAAACTTAATTTTCCGTAAAGTTGCTTTGCAACGATTTGTAACGTAAAAAGCGCTATACAAATAAACTTGAATTGAATTGAATTGAATCTTGATGGCAGTAAATGTCTCTGTACAATTCAAATATATGCCTCCATGCCAATGGTGCCTTCGCACATATGCCAGTCACCCATGCTGTTTGCTCTGCTGCAGGTTTCCTGCCTTGCCCTACATGTACTGAGATTTCTCTGTATTCCCTGAATCTTTTCACAATATTATGTATGGTATTGGTGAAGGACCTAAATTCTTAAGAAATTAGATTTTTGATTTGTTTTGACACTTCTCTCATGAAATTTGGCACGAAGTGATGTGGCATGATCCTGCTTTGCTTGAAAATACTGAGATGCGCCTTTTATACCCAAACATGATACCCTCACCCATTACCAGTTCACATCTCTTTTATTTTGCCTCTGTCCCAACTTTTTTGGAGTGTGTTGCAGCCATCAAAATCTACATTTGTTTGTATTTACAAAATACATTTAAGCTGGTCAGTGAAAATTTTGGAAATCTTTTCTTTGTACTGTTGTCAGTTACATAAAAGTTAAAGATAATTAACAAATCACAGATTCTTGACTTTATTGCATTTTACAAAATGCCCCAACTTTTCTGGAATGGGGGTTGTAAGTCTAGAATAGAGGTCTACGTCACGATGTCTACGTCACGATGTGGGAAGATTTGCATAACACCGCCCAAATGTTCACGCAAAGAAAGAAGGCGTAACTTTTATTCTCGCTGTAGTATTGTTGTTGCCGCCGCCGCCATGTCGTGAAGGCGCTGTGTTTTGTTGTGAAAGCGAAACTACTTTGGTTGGACTTCCAAAAGAGGACGATATCCGCTCACTCAAGCCGGCCTCCGCTCACTCTAGGCCCCGCGGCCTCCGCTCACTCAAGGCCGCGGTGTGTGA